AATTTTACCTTTCACAACTTTTACATGTCCATCTTTACCTTATAATAAGTATCTTTTTTTGTCGTATCTTCTCTTTATCTTGCATAGTAAGAAATGAACCAGCAAAATCAATACCAATTCTAGCAAATGCACGTAGTAGTTCTTTAAAGCGTATTGCTAGTAAAGGGGCCATCAGCTATTGAGCTGGTTTACATCTTCTTAATTTACATTTGTTGCATTTTGTTTCTGCATCTCGGATTTTTTTTCAACCTTGTATGACTCAATATTGTTCTGATAATTTTGTTAATAGTTGATTTGTTTCCATCACATGATTGGCTTCATCATAGTAATGTTTAACAATCAATTTTATTATTGTATGTCCTCTCGCCATAATGATTAGATGGCTAACATTGTAGGATAAGTAATAGGCATTTTGCAATCGACTACAAGATCGCAATAGTCTGTCTTTGTCAATTTGTGGATTTAAAGAAATGATTTTGCTTGATATTGATATTGGGTTGTTTTTTTTTAATGTTGCTATATTCTTCTTTAAAGCTTTCTTTTTGAGCTTTAGCTATGATTTTTTTTCACTTTCATAATATTCATCAGCTGTTATGTCACCCTTTTTACAAAAGTCTCTTTTAAATTGACAAACCAATGGTTCTATCCGTTTTTCTTAACAAGTCTTTTTCAACATGATAACTTATTTATATCAAGCAATTTATTTATTGTTTCAATGGATAATGCAAAATTCATTCATTCTGGATTTTTCTGTACTTCAATTGAAGTCTCTTGTGCGACTTCAATATGATTCTGTGGCCATTATTCTTCTAAAGAATTAAGGAAACTTGGTCCGTGCCACCATACATTAATACTTTTTAATTCATTAGCTGTTGTTCCTCTTGTTAGAAATCGTCTACATTAGTTTTTGTTGGTATGTATCTCCATTGCTTTAGTTCAGTCTTTGATAGAATGAATCCAACGCAATCGGCAACGCAATGATAGTCTTAATGTTTTATCCACCATAAAATATCACACCATATAGTTATGTCCTTAGTTTTCAGCTTTAATACATTGACAATCTTCTCTGCAAGTTGTTAACCGAAGACAGCTCAAAGTAACTCAAGTCTTGGTATACTAATAGATTGCAATGGACTTACTTGGGTTTTTGCCTTAATGACCACACAGTTCACTTCTCCTGTGTCATATAAAAATTGTTTATAAGCAACAGCACCTAAGCTTTACAAGACACACCCATAAAAATGTGGATTGATCTATTTGTAACTGTTGAAGTTGTTTGTAAACATCTGGGAATATTTATTTTGGTGAGATCTTTTAGTTCTTGAAACAATTGATCAACATTATTTGAAATCCTATCCGGAATTGCATCATCCCATTCAATTCCATCAACCTACAACTCTTGCATAATTATTTTGATTTGAATGATATATGGTGCTAAATAACCCAATGGATCAATTTATATTTGTATATACTGTATTTTCTTCTGCTGCAACAGGATGAAAACTAAATAGATTTCGCTTTCCAAACAACTCCAAGTTTTTTCATTGCAGGCAATTCTCCAGAATCTAAATTTATTTGTTCTGCATGATCATTTTCTGGTGTTATCTTAAGAACTTCAACCAAGTTTAAAAGCCACTTTCTTGCAAACATTCCTTCTGAACCCCATAGTAGCGTGAGTTCCTTGTATAATTTAATTCCTACTTTTTCATCAACTACAGAAGTTATTGTGTGTTCTTGCGTTGCAAATTAAGCCATAAAAGGCACTTTCATGGCTTAATTTGTATTTAAAAGATCTGCTTAACAATATTATTGTACTCTTCTTCAAGACTTTTGTTTTTCATTAAGCGTTTTTTCGTGTTTTTTAGTCCGTTTAACCCCATTGTGTAATTATTGTCCAGCTGTCTATTATCTTTCCATGGTAATTTTAGCTCATATCTTCCATTCTCTGTTTTTAGCAAATTAGTTACCATATTAAGGGCGGTAGAGTCTTCCGGGCTTGTTATTATTTTTTCAAATTGCATCTCTTTGTCGCCTTCAATTTCCCATAACTTTTTAATGGTGTCGTTTGCATCTTCTTTTTCCTTTGTACTAGATGTTATTTTCGTAAAATGGGTTTGAAGAGATCCACCAGTACCGCCAATACTTGTCCATCAATCGGTGTAAGTCGAGCTACTGGTTCATTAAATCCTCCTTTTACTTCCTTAATTGCGCAGTTCAGCTCAGCATAATCCACACTGATTAGAATGTCAATTTTTGATTTTGACACAATATTTGCGAAGTCGATTTTTCTTAGATGTTCCAACTTTTTGACAAATTTGCCCAATTAGCTACTTTTAAGTTTCCAGTTACATTATTAGCTGTAAAAAGCTTCCACTGTAAATTTTGTTTCTCCATTCAACAATTCTAACTGGAATTCCACTGGCATCATTTTGAAAGAATCAATTTTTCCATTTATTATGTTTACAGTTAACTTTTTGGTTTTACCTTGCAGTGACAACTCAGCTGCTACATCAGAGTTCAAATAGGTCTTGGTACTTGCATCATCAAGCAATGTGTTTAGCACAACTTTTTTATTACCATTACATTTTAAGAATAACTGGTACCGCTTTAAGAGGTATGCAGTTCATGACGTGTTTTGAATGAAATTGCATGTTCGACGTGTGAGAATTTTCTATTATTGTGTCTTTTTCTTTGAAGTCTTTAGAAATTGTTTTATTTAGATGTCTTTTCTTGTGTAGCAAATGATTATGAGTATCTGTACAGCCGTCAATCCCGCAAATTCTTGCGTTCCTGCATTCTTTTGATGAATGGTTAGAATTAAAATATCTGAAGCAGAGTTTATTTTTCTTAGCTGTCTCTTTCTTTAATATTTTGATTTTTCAGTTGTTTCCATAAATCATGTCCAATTTTTGCAGTCTTTTGATCTAAATCAATTATTTCATTTTCCATTTTATGCATCATATGTGTTGATTTGATTAATTCAATTTTGCTACTGCCATTTTCTTCTTTATTATCTTCATACTGGTCATTACTTTTTTGAGTACTTAACCATTGATAACATTGCATTTTTATTTCGACTTTAAGTTCCTTTTCGATCTTTTGTTGATTTAAACTTGATTTTAAACTTGCATTGTGCAATATCCACTCATTTACATGTTCAATAATTCCCACAAATTCATCATTTAGTTTTTCAATTTCTTTATTGAGTTTTTCTACATTTTCTTTTGATTCCAGAATTTCTTTATTGAGTTTTTCTACATTTTCTTTTGATTCCAGAAATTTCTTTATTGAGTTTTTCTACATTTTCTTTTGATTCCAGAATTTCTTTATTGAGTTTTTCTACATTTTCTTTTGATTCCAGAAATTTCTTTATTGAGTTTTTCTACATTTTCTTTTGATTCCAGAATTTCTTTATTGAGTTTTTTTACATTTTCTTTTGATTCCAGAATTTCTTTATTGAATTTTTCTACATTTTCTTTTGATTCCAGAAATTTCTTTATTGAGTTTTTCTACATTTTCTTTTGATTCCAGAAATTTCTTTATTGAGTTTTTCTACATTTTCTTTTGATTCCAGAAATTTCAAGCTTTATCTTGAGAGTTTCGTTTTGAGTTTTTGTTAATTGATTACTCAATTCGCGTAACTTGTTTTTAACGTCAAATTTTTGATTTTTTCTTTTTATCATTCTTCCGTGTTGAAGAAACTACTCTCTGCTACCAATTATGATCTGATGGCAATCACAAATAATATTGAATATGTATTATAACTTATAGTTTTAAGATCCTAACCATTTTTATATTAATTACATCAATTATATTTTCTATATATTTGTATCTGAAAAACAACAACAACAAAACTCTATTTATACAAAAATTTCGTTCAATAACAAAAAATATTTAGTAAACATTATTGTTCAAATAGTCATATAATTGTTATTTAGTTTGTTATAGCCATATTGGCGTTATTTACTGGTTATAGCTATTGTGGTATTGGAATATTTTTTTTTTTTATGCTGATTCGGTTTTTTTCCGATCAATACTTATTTATTCTTATTGACTATTTTATTACTCAAAGTAATACTGCCTGATTTTGGGAAAATGCAATTTGAATTTCATGTAGCAAAATGTCTTTGCCAAAAACCTGGCATGTGAATTAGCTTTATTTACGTTAATTTTTACGTAGTGGTCCAATTTTTTTACCCAAGTTTGCAATAATCACTGCACTTCTCAAAAGTATAGTGTAAATAATTTTAAAATTTAATTAGAAACTTATGTATTTTGTTTTTGCATAAAGGTATTTTTAAGTGGTATAATTTCATTCTTGCCTTGCTATTTCTTTTATGGTTTATCAGATTCCTGCAAGTTTTGGGTGCCAATAGAGCCTACCTCTCCAACCAGGTGCCCTTAACATTCATTTAATTAAATTGCAACATTACTGTCTCATCATTTGCATCAACACCATCCCAGCTCTAATTCAGAGATTTAAATGGTTTATTTCCAGCATAACAGTTTTATTTACGGGTATGATGATATGAAGCTCTCCGGCACAGATTTTTCAGTGCTTGAAGTTGAAGTGGAACTTCAACTTCAAGCACTGACAAACCTGTGCATTTTTAAAATACCACCAGTAAACAAGTATAATAATAATAAAAAAAGGCTCAATCAGTATAGATAAAAACCTTCTTCTTTCCATTCTCTTCAATAGTGTAATATATATAATATATAGTTCATGATTTGTAAATTTATATTTGCATCAATTGATTAAAAATGCATTTAAAAATTAAAAAAATGTAAAAAAAAACTTCAAAAGAGTGCCACAAGTAGTTATCTATAGCAATTTTTATCTGCTGCGAGTACTCGTAGTTATATATAGTTAAATACAAAGTAAAAAAATTTCAATAAGAAAACAATACCTTGGGAGCATTTTAAAACTCTCCATTTATTAAAATTTGTTCATAAGGGTAAAGGTGGGCTAGTATTTATGTAGTTCTTATTGCATTTAGATATAGACGAGTGTGCATCTAATATAAATCTGTGTGAGCAACAATGCATCAACCAAGTTGGTTCATTTAATTGTACTTGTTTCAGTGGTTATTTATACAAAAACAAAGTTTGCGAAGGTATTTTATTTAACTAACCTTGTATATATAAATTATTAGTCAATCAACATTGATTAATTTAAAATTAGTTTCTCCTCATTTTTTTAAAACCAAAAATAAATATTACTTGTCAACATTGATTAGTACAAACTTTAAAATGTTTTTAAATTATTTCAATTATTTCAAAATAGTTTTAAATATATTTTTTCTTCATTATTCAAAACTTTCAAATGCATAATTTTAAATAATTTAAGATATAATATTTCCGCCAGTATTTGACAAGGTGTGACTTGACATAAATAGACTTTTGAGGCAAATGATAAATAGATATTTTACTTGTGTGTGTAGGTTTCTTGCATGAAGCACAACAATGAATCAATCACATTTTTATATTATGTCATCAAACTAATTTCTTTCTTACAAAATCAACCAATAGTTTTTAAATTAATTTATATTATTCACTTTAAAAATTGCATTAACACATGTTTTATTATTTAAGTTAAAACTTAAATTGTCACTAAATGTTCTAGAGATTTTTGCTTTGAAAATACAGAAAAATAATTACAACACACTTTTACTATAAAAATATAAAACATGAAAATATAAAAGTAATTACAACACTTTCAGAAGAATGCAGTACACAATAATACTTTTATTTCATGATCATTATTTCATGATCATTAATTCATGATCATTATCATGGTCATGAAATAATCATCATCATGATCATGAAATGATTATGATGATGATTATTTCATGATCATGATAATGATCATCAGCACTGAGATCATGAAATAATTAACAACATGATCATGAAATTATCATCAGATTTATAATCAGATTTTTAACAATAATCATGATGATGATCATTCCATGATCATGACGATCATGGAATGATCATCATCATGATCATGGAATGATCATCATCATATTGTTAAAAATGTGATTATAAAATTTTTATTTTTGCTTTTTTTTAATAAAATGAGTTTTAGAATTGAGTTCAATGTTCTAGATATCAATGAATGTGAAATAAATAATGGGGGGTGTGCTGAGAAATGTATTAATACAATTGGAAGTTTCATTTGCAGTTGCAATTGGGATGGTCACAAAATGTTAAAAGACAACACCTCATGTGAAGGTTTGAGTTTAAATTTTAAAAAAGTTTTCATTTGGTTTTTTCTGTATATTTATTTTTAAAAATGAGAAATTTTTCCTGTTTATTTATTTCATAATAATTTCATTTATTTATCATTTTTGTGTTTGTTTTTTTTTGTTTACTCAGTATACAAATGAAGTAATTTTATAATTTAGATATTGATGAATGTGCTGATGGCTCATCAAAGTGTGACCATTTCTGCAAAAATACAGATGGAAGTTTTGAGTGTAGCTGTCAACCTGGTTTTTATTTGGACCATGATGGAAAAAAATGTGTGGATGTTAATGAATGTCATGTAGGAACACCAGGCTGTCTAGGAAACTGTATTAATACCAAAGGAAGGTAAATTTTAAACTATTTATTTTTTATTTACTCATTTACTTTCTCTACTCGACTTATGTCTTGTTTCTGATCCTAGTCATTGCTCAGTTTCTCCACATTTACCCTTAGGTGCTTCTAATCACAGTTTGATCTCTCTAAAACTGTTATTTCATTCTTCTTTATTACCAGATTCCCTCTATCATTGTACATCTTACAACTACCTTAAAGCTGACTGGGACTCTTTCCGTGATTTTCTTCGTGACAGTCCTTGGGTAGAAATCTTTCGTCTTCCTGTTGACAAATGTGCTTCTTACATAACTTCGTGGATTCAGACTGGCATGGAATCCTTTATTCCCTCTCAACGATTCCAGGTCAAGCCTCACTCTTCCCCATGGTTTTCCTCACATTGTGCTGCTGCAATTGCCAATTGAAACCATTACTTCCTTATCTATTAGCAAAACAATTTTCCAGAAAACAGATGTCTATTTATTACTGCTAGGAACCATTGTAAAAAGGTTTTGTGTAATGCCAAAGCCAGTTAATCTCAGGTCACGATATCTCAAATTTCATCACAAAAATCTCTCGTGACTTCTGGAGTATCATTAATAGTATCAATAATAAGAGTCTGTAATTTCCCCTCATGTGTAAGGTTCAAACTTTGTCACCTCATCTAAAGAAAAAGCTGAATTATTTGCAAAGAACTTTTCATCAATATCATCTCTTGATTTCACTAGCTGCATTCTACCTGATATAGCCGTCAAACAGGTAGATCAATTGCTTGACATTCGTATCACTTCAGCTTCTTTATCTAAAGTGATTTCCTGCTTAGATTCTTCTACAGCTTGTGGCCCAGACAACATACCTGTTATAGTCTTGCAGAAGTGTTCTCCAGGGCTGTCGTCTATACCTTCAAAACTATTCAACAAGTGCTTATCAGGGTCTTGTTTTCCATCCTGCTGGAAAGCAGCATCTGTTATCCCTATTTTTAAAAATTCTGGAGAGTGATCTGATTTGTCTAACTACCCTCCTATTACTCTTCTTCCTATCATAAGCAAGGTTTTTGAATCTTTAATTAAAAAAAACTTTATCTCATCTTGAATCTAATAACTTACTTTCTGATCATCAATATGGATTTTGATCTTCTCGTCCTACGGCTGATTTGCTAGCAGTAATAACTGATAGGTTTTATTGTGCGTTAGATAAAGGTTGAGAGGTTAAGGCCATCGCTCTTGACATTTCTAAAGCGTTTGATAAGGTTTGGCATGCTGGTCTTCTCCATAAGCTTTCTTCTTACGGTGTTTCTGGAAACATCTTTAAAATTATTGAATCCTTCCTTTCCAATCCTAATATAAAAGTTGTCCTTGATAGACAGCACTCTTCTTCTTATTCTGTAAACTCAGGGGTTCCTCAAGGTTCAACCCTTGGCCCTATACTCTTTTTAATTTACATTAACAATCTATCCAGATATTCTCATATCTGTAGTATCATCAGCGAACAAGGTGGCATTGTTCGCTGATGATACTACCATTTATTCTTGTCATGATAAAAAGCCAACACTCTCTCATTGCTTGGAGGGGGCATTTGAGCTTGAAAAGGATCTCACTTCTGCTACAACATGGGGCTCACAGTTGCTGGTGAACTTTAATTCAGATTAAACTCAATTTTTTTCAGCCAATCGTTATCGAAATAACTTAGACCTTCCTATATTTATGAACGATAATGTACTTGATGAGTCATCTACCCTTCATCTTCTAGCATTAACTCTTACTTCAGATCTTTCTCGGAAACTATATATCAAATCCGCTGCAAAATTAGCATCTGTTAAAGTTGCAACTCTTTATCGAGCTCGAGATTTTCTTACTCTGGATTCTGTTCTCTATTTCTATAAATCTCAAATCCCGTCTTGTATGGAATACTGTTACCATAGCTTATGGGCGGATCTTCTAGTGGTGCCTTTTCTCTTTTAGACAAGGTACAAAAACGTATTGTATATATAGTTTGACCTGCTCTTGCAGCCAACCTTCAACTATTATCACATCGTCATAATGTCGCTTCTCTTTCTCTTTTCTACAAATACTATAATGGGCACTGCTCTAAGAAGCTAGCGCCTCTTGTGCCATCTACTAAAATTTATTCTTGTGTTACTCGTGATTCAATTAAGTCTCAACCTTTTTCTGTGACTGTTCCTAAGTGCTGCAAAAACTTTTATCCCACTAGTTTTTTTCCTCGAACATCAGTTCTTTAGATGAAGTGTTAGGGAGCTTCTTTAGATGAAGTGTTAGGGAGCTGTAAACTACCTGAAGATGATTTATCTTTTGTTGGAATGCACTGCATAAAAGTAGGGATACCACCTAGACTAATAAAAAGGTGAAAATGCTATTTAAAATTTTAATTAAATACGTTCGAGCACTTTTTACCTTCTATAGGAATATCAACAATTTCAAATCCGTCAATCATTTTGTTAAATTCAGGCGTGCATATTGTTGATTGGCTCTCAGCTCAACAAGCAATTGAGACAATACTTTTATGAGTTACATGAATAGAGTGTTTTTAGTAAAGATTGCAAACATGTTGCAAAAGTTAACCAAAGTAACAATTTTATACTGAATCTGTGACAATCTTTTTATTGGGATAGGGAATAATTTGAAAAAAAGAATAAAACAAGATAAATTATACAAGGCTTTAACATCACTGACAGTATAATGATCTTGTAAAAAAATGCAATATATCACCTATCTGAATTTTCTCTGGCTTTACAACAGATACGAAGTCATTAAAACGATATATTGTTGCCTTCTTACATGTGACCAATGTCCATGCCATTTGCATGACTTTCACACCGATACCATTGACTATGTCATTATTTTGCAACATGACTGGTTGCAAATTAATGCTACGACAAGCTACCAAGATTCCATTTCATACGAATGATGGAAAGGGCTGACAGTGCAAATCAATTTTTTTTATTGGGATGAGGGATCATTAGTAAAAATAGTTAGATGCATTCCACTTAGATCCAGAACATCGAGTACAGCATTTGTGTAGAAAAGGATAGCCATTTTATTATGGTTAAGGTTGTCACTCACAATAGCAAAACTTTGGGTTTGGTCTTTCATCCAAACAACCACTTTATAAATTTTCAACATTTTGTTGGTCCAATAAGCACTTTGAATTGCATTTTGTTCCTTTAATAGCAGGTTCTCACTAAAGTTCATCTGTTCAACAATTGGAATACAAAAGTCAACGTTTTAAATGATAATATGATGTTCAAAAACTTACCTGGATCACAATTTCTCCAACATTTACCATCATAAATTGAAAATGAGCACTTTGAGTGTCTAAAAAAAGCAGGCAAGTTAAAAAAAAATTGTTGCATGAAGTCATTAATGGTCGTTGTTATAACTTCCTTAAACCCACCACTCCACTGTTCAAAACTCACTTCATCTGCACCATCCACCAGTTCTAACCAGCATTCATATAACTTCCCATTTGAAGATTACCACAATGTTCACACAAAAGGAACATACACTCTTCGCGGTATGGATTGCAAACAAAACTTTCAAGATGTATGAGTTTACTAAATATAATGGCGAGTGAGTTGATGTATAGCACACATTCATACATTTTCTAGAATTTCTCTTTATAGCCTAAAAAAAAAGGTCTTTTGGAAGCAAATTTTGAAAATTTCACAGACACACCAGCATTGTCATTCTTGAGTATTCCAAATGCCAAGTTAATAAGTTGGTCTTTTCTCTCGAGTGACTTTACTGATAGTAACATTGATGCCAGATGTCTGATGGAAAATATCATCGCGTTTATAAAATTCATAAATTAGTAAAGTGAGACAAGTATTCCGTTCTATAAGTGTACTACTTGGTTGATCATTATTAGCTACTCGCGAAACAATCAATTTGTCTACTGGACTTAAAAGTATAGCAATGGACTTCATCCATCGGTATACTCTTCATAACTTTGTTTACCACCTTACCAAAAGACTGCAGTGTAAAAAATGCTTGTTGATCTGTGGATGAAGATTTTGGCTTTCTTTTCCTTTTTTTTTGCTTCTCTATCCCTTTAACATTGTTCTTCTAATTGATCAGGTGTCATGTTTTATCTCAAGGACTTTACTCGGTTCATTTCATTGACTTTTCATTGACTAAATCTCATATCTGAAAAAAGTGATAGTGTTGAAATATAAATTATGACAAATAAGTGCTTAAATAAATAATCTGAATTAGTTTTCTCAATTGTTAACATTTAATATGTTAAATTTAAAAACAAAAAATACAGATATTTGTTTATATAGGATAATGCAAATAGTATATTGGATTTTGGAATTAAGGTATTCCCTAAGTTAGAAATACTGCACTATGTCACGTTCAGGCATTTTATGTAGTGTTCTGATATTAAGACATTTATAATGGAAATTAAGGGTTGTGTTTAGACATTGCATGTTGCATTCAGAAAACTCATGTTGCATACAGAAGTATTACATTTAAACAAATTTAAAATTCATGTTATTTAAGGGCATAAACATTAAATGGTAAGTTGAATTTATAATCATAAATATATTGATGCTAATTACAAAATTTCACATGAAAAATATGCAAAAACACATTGTAAACATAGTTGGACCTGCTCTTGCAACTAACCTTCAACCATTGTCATAATGTTGCTTCTCTTCCTCTTTTCTATAAATACTATAATGGGCGCTGCTCTAAAGAGCTAGTGTCTCTTATGCCATCTACTAAAATTCATTCTCGTGTTATTCATCATTCAAGACTCATCCTTTTACTGTGATTAATTGCTTATGTAATTTTTATAATGTGATTTTAAAGTTTTATAATGTGATTTTACTGTTTTATTTTTTTCTAAGTGCTCCAAAAATTCTTTTTAGTTTTTTGAGCATCAGTTCTTTGGTATTCGCTCCCTTGTTCTTGTTTTCATGGTTCATATAATTCATCTAAGTCATCTGTTAAATTGTTGCTTTTTTTTTTTTTTTTTTTGTTATTTAGGTGCCCCAAGAAGACCTTACGGTCTTGTCACAGAGCACCGCGGAAGTGTGTTTAACCAGGAAGTTTACGCCTTCTTCCTTACCGTGATGCAAAAATATGTCCGAGACAAATATCCTTGTGCTTTTCTGATTTTTTTTGCTAAATTTTTTTCTCCTGCTTATAAAGCAAGATCTCCTGCTTATAAAGCAAGCGCTCTAACCACTGCGCTACAGTCGCATACTTCATCTTTTCTCTTCCAGTAACTTTTAACTCCAATAGTGGTTGCTTGCAGCCTTGTTGGAAGTGAAGATGTTTTTTTTAAAAAAACTTTTTTTTATAAAATATTCAAAATAAGTTTTTTTCATAATCAATATTGATTTTCCTAATTGTTGTTTTTATAATTTATGAAAAGTTTTTCATAAATCAATACAATTTTTCATTGCTGTTTTTTTTCTAAAAATTAAAATGTTTTTTAGCTACATATGTAAATGCGCAGAAGGTTATAGATCAATTAACAATGAGACAAGTTGCGAAGATGTGAATGAGTGTGAAATTTTAAATGGAGGTTGTTCACATCGGTGTGAAAATACAAAAGGAAGTTACATTTGTAAATGTCGAGAAGGCTATACAGCAAGAGATCATAGGTATGGTTGCAAATACATTTTATTTTTGTTTAAACAATTTTTGTTTAAACTGTTTAAGATTCATTTTGTTTTACTGATTCTTCTATTATTAATATAAAATATACATAATAACAAAGTATTTATAATAGTAAAAAATATGAAAAAAGAAATTTAATGGAAATGAGATTTTTTTAAATATTCATTTAGTTCCTTCACTTGTAATGACAAGAATGAATGTGAGGACAATCCTTGCGAAGGTACTTGCACAAATTATATCGGGACATTTGAATGTGGATGTGAAACTGGTTTTCAACTTGTAGCTCAAGTAAAGTGTCAAGATATTGACGAATGCATGTCTACAGAGTTAAACAAGTGTGAACACACTTGTGTCAACATTCCTGGCAGGTTATAAGAAATTTGTTTGTTTTTGAAACAAATTTTAAAATTTGCATGTTATTTATGATTATAATAGTAAAAAATATGAAAAAAAATTTTTAATGGAAATGAGTTTTTTTCAAATATTACATTAGCTGATAATTTTAATTTTTAAATGTCAACAATATTTTCTGCTATGTACATTTCATAATGACATTAATAATTTGTTTTTTTTAAGTATTTATCAATGGTTCATAAATACTTTAACATAATAAGTAAATATTTATTTGTCCTAATAAGTAATTAGGACAAATAAAAATTTGTTTTTTAATTCATTTTGATTGCAAAAATTTGATTTTTTTATTGTTAATATTTTTACTATAACTTATTTTTCTTGTAAGTGGGCTATGTATGTGTGTTAGTATACTACAATGTGGATTAGTTTTGAAACATTAATTGTATTGGTTATTAAACCAGAAACTCTTACAATTATGTTCCTGTTTTTAGTTATTTTTGCACATGTCGTGATGATTATATCTTGCACTCAGATAAAATGTCTTGCAAAAAATCTGTTGCTAGCATAGGTATAAAAATATCTTATTCAAAAGTAATAAATTAATAAACATCTAATGTTACATGTTGTTAACAGGTATATATTATTATGTAAGGGTACAGTGACTTTTTTTTATTTTATAATTTTTGCACAAAAGTCTAAAAAATATTTGAACTATCTTATTTTTAATTAATGTTTTAATTTTTATTTTAAGGAATTTTTTTATGAACTATTATGATTTTAGGTTGTCAGAGAACTGCTATAAATATAAAAGAGATTTCTTCAAGTGGATGGGATAATGTCTTGGATGGGTGGGGATGGCAGGTGTCATTAAATATTGATTTTACTCACTTCACTACACCAAGATTTAATTGTATGGGAATACTTGTGAGTGAAGAGTTTATTCTTATCACTGGTCACTGTTTGCGTTTTAGTGATGATATAAAAATTCCTCCTCAAATCATTCTTGTTTCATTGGGCAGTTATACGTTTGGTTTTTATGATAATGAAAACAACATTCATGCAAGCGAAATAATTTATCATCCAACATTGGACTTGGCTTTAATTCGGATGTTAGAGAAACCAACAATATCCAATCAGATTCAACCTATTTGTTTACCTCAAACAGTACATGATGTTGATATATCTCAAGATAAAGAAATTATAGTTGTAACTTGGTTACCAGATCATGCGTAAGTAAACAAATTTATTTGAACAGTTGAATAATATATTATAATGTTATAATATGTTATTTGTATATATATAATATATATATATATATATATATAATATATTTATATATATATATATATATATATATATATATATATATATATATATATATATATATATATATATATATATATATATTTATATTTATATATTGGATGCAGAGTCGTCAAAGCAACTTGTAGGTTTATGGAAAAAAATCATGATATCATCATTTAAAAAAGTTTTCAATATATTAAGACATGTTTGTAAGAACTTTTTTTTGCAATGTTTTCACTATTTTGTTACTAAGTAATTTAGAGATCTGCGAGTTGTGGCTTTTTTCTAAAGTCTTCTTTTTCTTGCTTCCCACATTCAGGCAGGCATTTATAAAATTTTTTAAATGCCTGTCTGAATCTAGGATAGCATAAGAGGCTTGACTCTCAACAGAGAGCCAAAAAGCATTAGCTCAAGGACCATTTTGAAGAAAATCACAAAAAGAATTCTAGCAAGTCAAAAAAAAAAAAAAAAAAAAATTGGTCAATTTGATCAGAAATAACTTTGAAAAGAGTGTTTAGAAAAAGTATTTTTAGAAAAAGAAGATCATTAAAAAAAAACAAAGATAAAAATAATTGAGTAAAGTGGTGCCAAAAGCACATGAAAAAATATTCAGAAGATTCAAACTTAGTTTCACAAAAAATAAGTTATACATAAATTTGATAAATAGTTTATTTATGAAATTTGTGTATAACCTCCTACCTATATTGCACAGTTGATTAAAACATAGAATTTGTAGGAGTGAGACATTAGCTTTATTTACTTGAAATAGAATTTGTAGGAGTGAGACATATTTATTTACTTGAAAATTAGAGTTAGGTATAGTCTTCAACTTAACAAACTAAAATTAGGTAAGTAAGAAATGATTTTATTCACTAAACATAAGTACCTGTGGTGTAGTAGTTAGAGCACTCTTTTAAGAAGCATGAGATGCAAGGTTCAATGCAAGCTCTGGGCATATTTTGCATCATCAGTAAGGAAAGAAGCATGAGATGCAAGGTTCAATGCAAGCTCTGGGCATATTTTGCATCATCAGTAAGGAAAGAGGCGTGAACTTCCTAGTTAAATGGTTATCTACACCTTAACACCACACACCACAGTACACCTTCTCATCTTCATTGAGCACCGAAAAAGTAAATAAAATAAAATCTTAACAGCAAAGAAAACAATTGCAATGCCAAAAAATAATTGAGAAATATTTAAATAATCAAAGGTTAGTGTTGCAGTATTATAATAAATTATATTAGAATATATTATGTAACTGGTGTAAGATATTGTCCAGAAATAAATATATATATATATTTATATATTATATATATATATATATATATATATATATATATATATATATATATATATATATATATATATATATATATATATATATATATATATATATATATATATATATATATATATAGGATTTAGACCACCCTCAAATTTTCAACATTCTTTGTTTCTTAAATTATTTTTCATTATTTGGTTGTGAGCTGCATTCGATGTAGCCCCAGTCATATGCATCAATTCTTGTTGTCAACCAAGCGAAAAGGTTAATTTGCTAACAAGTTAGCAAATTAACCTTTGCGCTCCGAAGTACGCCTTTTAGCGTTTTTGCTAGATACCCTGAAGGTGTTTTTAAACAGAAGTGAAAAACTTCATAGCATTGATAAATAAATCTTTTCTTACACTACTCTCTACAATGGAAATTTTTTTTTGAAATCAGCTCTGAGCTGAAATCTGAAAGCTTGGATCTTCTCATTCTGTTTAAAAACACCTTCAAGTTATTGGACTCTGTAAAACCTGTCAGCTGGAACGCCATTCTGCATTTGAAGGCTTTCATAGCATTTATAAAGTTTTATGTATTTTTATGAAAGCTATTTTTTTGAAGCTTTTGGGAAGAGTGGAAAAGGGATCGTGAAACTAAAACTTCAACACAAGGTTTGCTTGCAAGTCTGATGAAGTTTCTAATTCTAATAACATTGATTTGCACCATAAAATGCTTAACCAATGTAAAGGCTTTTGTAGTAAAATTTCAAAAAAGTGAAATTGACATTTCAAATCCAAAATATCTTCTTTATCTAGCAAAATTCAGAATTCAGAGTTATCTTAATGGAATAAATTTGAATGTTCTATTTAGTACAGTAAAGCTAAGGTTCTTGCTGCACAAGTTACCATCACTAAAAGCCGAACTTGATGCATAATATCCCCTCAGAAACAATAAAAGATTGTTTTTGCATTGCAGTAGCGATTCACACGTTTTATACACAACAATAGCATGCCTTTAAACACACTTCATTTACTGTCGTTAAACATTACAAAGGTTTCAGATGATGAAGCTTTTAATGATCTTGATTAATGGATGGATGAGATATTATCTGAGATAGAGTTGAACATTTAACTGAAAATATAAAAATATATTTTTCAAACATTTCAGAAAATGAGCTATCACTAGAATTAAATTCTGACTTATGCAGACAAAGATGTCTTCCCAAATATTTGCAAACTTTTAATTCATTTTTGTATCCTTCCATTGACACCTGCTGAAGCAGACAGATCATTTTTTGTACTAAGACGGACAAAAACATAACTGGGTTCAACTATGCATCAAATTCGTTTGACTGGCATATGTTTAATGAATATATAAAAATATAATATGTTATTTCTGAAATATGTTGAATGATTCAGTTGTGTTAAATCTATGCATCTTTATAATCATCCCTCTGCTATATTTTCAAGCTAAGTATGTTAATTAGTTGTTTTTCTGTTGTATTTTATGTTTGAAATGGAAAAAATAATTTGAAAAAAATATACTGAAAAATATATATATAAAATATATATAAAAAATATAATATATACTGGTTGCGACTCTGGTATATATATATATATTTTGCTTGTAGTTTAGATGTTCTAATTTTAATGTTGTATATATATATATTTTGTTTGTAGTTTGGATTTTCTAATTTTAATGCTGTATATATATATTTTGTTTGTAGATTAAATTTTCTATTTTTAATGTTGTTTGTAGATTAGATGTTCTAATTTTAATGCTGTAGACTTATTTTTCTTTTGCAATACTCTCAAAATTTTAATACATTTGTAGAAGTTTACGCCATATTGTTGCTAAAATTGTGAAACATGAGTGTTGTGAACAAGATATAAAAATTAACCAAGAAAATCTAGTTAATCAATCTTTATGTATACAGTTTAACAAAACAGAGGTAATTTCTTAATCAAATGTTTAATTACATAAATAAAAACTCTATTAAAACGTTTAAATACATAAATAAAAACTCTATTGAACGGAATTTCAGATAATATGGTTTTCTTTAGTTTCATCTCCCGATGAGTGGCTCGCCGATCCTGGGAATATCACGTGAAGTCAGTAATCAAACTGATCAAAAATGGTTGCTGACAGGAATTCTTATACGTGGTTCTTATCATCCAGACGTTGAATTAGTTTCGACAAAATCCTGTGTCGGCTATTATAAAGCAGTAATGTTTGTTGATTGGATACGTAACATAACCCTCAACTAAGGATAATTTTTAGTTACATGCTCTCACAGCTCTTAGATAAAGTGACTTTTTTCCTCTACCATATAAAGTTGGATCATTATCCTATAGCAAATAAATTTTATAAGTCTATGCCAAGAAATAATGATAAGAAAAAAAAATTAAAAAATAAATTTGATTTATTTTTATGCATAGACCTATGAAATTTATATTTTTAAATAAATAAAATTATATTTTTTTAACAATATATATATATATATATATATATATATATATATATATATATATATATATATATATATATATATATATATATATATATATATATATGTATATATATATATATATATATATATATATATATATATTTATATATATATATATATATATATATATATATATATATATATATATATATATATATATATATATATATATATATATATATATATATATACAATATATATATTTATTTAATATATATTTTAACATGTATTTTTTTACTTTTATTGCATAAAAACTTTAGTGAAATTTTTACTCAGTTTCTAACAACTTTGACTCAATTTGCACGAACAAACCAACATTCGTAGCATCTAATAGTGTAGTTTTCGTAGCATCTATTAGCAAATATTAGTAACCATGACATTGTTGAACAATAAAACAAATATAAAGTAAAAAATTAAAAAGTACCATTCGTTAAATTTAATTAAAAAATTAAAAACGAAATAATATTAATTGGATCACTCTGCAACCTGCACAACTAAAAAATACGTTTAAAATGTTCAGTACTACACTCTGTTTCATCTATAAAGACTCATTATTTCTGATAAGTCTTTATAGATGAACCACAGTAAAAATTGAAAAAAAAATTCTTAAGTGATTTTCTATCTAAATATATATACAAATTTAAATAGTTTATTTTCTTAATTTATTTGAAAAAGTGTTTAACATTTAAAAAAAAAAAAAAAGTCGCAACAAAATCTGCTTAATTATAAGAGCCATCCTATTTGATTTCAATTTCTAACGCTTAGCGAAACTTAAGGCAACGTTTTTGTAGACGAAATAAGAAACAAGTGTAAATTGATGAAAGCTGTCTTTGATTATCGGTTAACTTTTTAACCTAAACAAGTTAACTGTTGTTTATAGATTGCTGTTCATGGTTATCATGAATCCTGATAATGTTAACCTAGCTGACCCAAGAGCGCCACTTATATAAAGTGATAGATAACACATACTCCGTAATGGAAATTTTGAATTCTTTATAGTTTGTCTAAATAACCTAATTTGTGCAACAATAAAAACACCTAGATTAAGAAACACTTTTTATAGTTAGTTGAAAATTGCTGCTAATGTACTCTATAGCCACACCAAACTCTGGATAAAATTTCCATTAGAATGGTTCACTGGTTAGGAATTATGGTTTATATGTTATATTTAAACTTGTATGTCTTAGTTAAATTTTGTTAGTTTTTTACTATTTATACTTTCAAATATTTCCGACTATTATGGTGGTTGCATGAAGTACTTTGAACAATGAAAATTGTTAGCAGGCACCGCGTCATCAAATAAGATTCCGTCTCACAAGTATTCTTAATTATTAATAATTATTAATAATTATTAATAATTATTTCCTTGTGAGAAAGATGCTTCAAAATAATTACTGTCTTCAGTAGAATTAAAGATCATCTTCATTTAGAAAATTTTGACTGAAACTAAATAATCGTCAGAATTAAGCTGTTTTTTAATAGCCATTTTCATGGAATATTTACGGGTTGTTATATAATATGAATTTAGGTTAAGTTTGTAAAAGGTTTAGTTTAGTAAAGATCGAAAATTGATTTAGTAAATTTTATGATTTCATTGTTTTGTTTACTGAGAGAAAACTATAGTAAAGTCATTCAGATAAATTTTTTATAATAATACTTTGAAACATGGTATTGCTCCTAGTATACACATTATTTTCTGTATGTCTGAGGCAAAAACAGTAAAAAGATTAAATTTGATTGGTTAAATTTTTTTTTTTTTGTAAGATTTAATTGCCACAATTCCAAATAAAGCAAAGATTCATGATTCCAAATAAAGCAAAGATTCACAATTCCAAGCAAAGCAATGATTCATGAAAATTTAAGTTCTGTTTAAGCCTGCTTTGTTTGAATTAATGTTAGTAAAACAGCTAACTTCCTTCCTAGCAATATAAATACGCCAGTTGTACAAGAACTCTACGAATTTCGCAGAACTACTTTATGCAGGAAATGAGATAGGAAAGCATTTCCTCTCCCCCCTCCTTTTGTTTGGTTTTAAGTAGATACAAGTAAGACCTAAAACAGGTACAATGTGTGATTGTCTTGTCTGCCAAACTGGTAAATACAAGTAAGACCTAAGTAAATACAAGTAAGACCTAAAACAAGGTACAATGTGTGATTGTCTTGTCTGCCAAACTGGTCATTCAAAGTTGCAAAAAAAAAAAGCATCATCTTGAATAAAATATTAAGGGAAACCTTAGATCATTACCAGCAAAAGATGTCAGAACAGCAAAACAAATCGCATCTCAAGTTATTTTGAACCAAAAATCATTTCAGGAAGGAACTATTCGACTTCACAGTGTCACAAAATGGTCATCAACCTTAACCTCATGTCCCGAGAAAACCCTTTGGTGTGATGATAGCCCACATATAGTAGATCACTTAGATATAAATTTGGAAATCAAACTATGACGTCCGAGAGAGATATTTTAGTTTTTATTTTCTTCAACTCTGGCATATCAAAATTTAAACGAGATGATAGGAATTTGGCATTTTTTCAGTATTTATAGAGCAAAAAGTTAATTTTCCCATATATTTCTATAAGACATATAAACAAAACATATTTTAAAATAAAATTGATCCTTTTTATTCTAAAATGAATGTTTGCTGTTGAAATCAATCACACAATTCAGAAGCTTTGATTCATATTCTGGATGGTTTCTTGCCCGTTTGTAACGCTGCCAATGGGAACTGAAGTTGTGATGAAGAGATTCTGTAGCTTGCTCTGAGAAAATGCCAAGACTAGAATTGTGTCTAAGGATGAAATCCTTCAGGTGTAAAAACACCGCATGTGTTTTGGGAGTGACTAAAGTATTTGGCAACTTCAGGTACGGCTCCTGAAACTGTAAAATTTTTTGTTCAAAATCGGGGCTCAAGTAATTTCCAAAGCAAGCATTCACCACTGAGTCAAAATGGATCAATGTTTCAACAAATGGCACAGCAAAAAAAAATGAGCTTTGCTCAGCTAAACTTTGAAGGCGATCAGTGTTTTTCAAGAGCTTGCGGCAGTCATTCCCTGCAAATCGGCCACCATGAAAAGACTGCTCTTGAATATGAAGGGCTGCTGGCCATTCCTTTGCTGCGGGCCAAATCTGGCATAAACTTTTGTGGAGATGGTTAACGACTCCAAGAAGCCGATGAAGTTCCATAGGAGGAATGATGTCCAAAATCAGTGTGTCATCTGGCAGAGTCATTATGGGTTCATGGATGACGTTTTTGAAGTCTTTTGCTCTCCTTGCATTGGCACCGCTGCTTTGAAACTGCAGAAAGTTTTCTCGAATTGAACCAAGTGTTCTGAGACTTCCAGAGCGACTCAAATCTTTTGATTCTGCATCACACCATGAACAAGGATGTGCACTTGCATGGGACTGAAGACCGCAAACAAGATTGGCGACTTTCATGTCACAAGAGATTATGTAGGAAAATTTGTGAAGTTGAAGAGAAGAAATTATGCTTTTCTAGTTGTCATAACTCTATGGCAGATCTTCTGAAATTGCCACCAGAAGTTGCCGTTTGACTCCTGTGTCTTTAAGCCCTCGTTTTGGTGGTGGAGAATTTGAATCTGTGTTTCTGGCAATGATTCCAAGAGATACTTTTAAAAACCCACCACCTCCATCAATGCCAATCTTCATCAGCGGATCTCCTGAAACATTCCTTACTTTGATAACGTGATTTGCAAGACTTCCTACATCTGTGCAAAAAACAAGCAGTCGTGAAGGGTGCTGGTCATCATTCTTTGTAGAATCTCGTATGGCCTTGGTCTCAAAATGCTCAGAAAGAGATTTCCCGAAACTGTCGAATTTTTCTCTGAAATTTTTTTCTACAATCCGGAGAGGTGTAGCTTGGTTCAAAGATGATGCCAATTTGGACATGCCACGATTTGACAATCTAGTTCCAATTTGGACTCCAACCATGTCTTGTGCCGTGAGCTTGGGCACAGCAGGAAACAATTCTCTTGCACTTGATGGTCCTAAAGAACATTTAATGGCCGAGGTTAAAATTTTCTACATTTACATTTTAAAAGAAATTTATAAGTGGTTTATGCTTAAATCTATATTGCTTTACCTGGAACAACGGGAAAACGATTTCCTCCAAGTGGTTGACTTAGCCGAACAGTACCATGAGGTGATGGAGTTTTGTTAGCAATTGTTAATGATGCTACCCTCTCTTTTTCAATGCTTTAATTTTCTTTGGGTTTCGGTGGTTCCAAAGGATTACGCTGATTCATATTTGTCTTCGCAGTTTGACAAATCAAACAATTACAAGGAATATTTGTTGCAGCGCGCTGAACTGAGATATGCTGAAATCAAAGAGCCTTGGGATAGGTGCATCCTCCCCTTCTTCTCGCCTGCGAATAGCCGCACGACATCTTTCACAAATTCCACAAGGGATTTGAAAGTTTGAAAAATCAAGCTCAATTTTGAGGACTGTGCAAATTTTCTCCACTAAAAAACTTGTGATTTCTCGATTTGCCTTCTTCAAACATAGGAAACAAACACATTTTCGGTTTCCTTCATGAGTTTTAGTTTTGTTAGGCATTTTATCAAACTTTTAATGTGTCTTATTTGAAAAAAACTGAATGTGCACCCTTTTCCCGGAGTTAGCAAAATTGAAAAACAAACAAAAAATAATAGCAAAATTGAAAAACAAACAAAAAATAATAATGATTTCAAAAAACCTGCTCCAATTAGTTATATAATGTCTTAAATAGTACTCTAAGCAACGTAACAACAAAAATGCTGTAAAAATGCCAAACTCCTATCATCTCATTTAAATTTTGATATGCCAGAATTGAAGAAAATAAAAATTCCAAATTTATATCTAAGTGATCTACTATATGTGGGCTATCATCCCACCAAA